GTATGTTCTCTAACCCTATCCTCTTCCCTTCTTCCTCTCTTGCACTATATTTTCCTCATCTAGCAGTTGACTTGACCTTCGTAGTGCGAACGGTTGTCGGACCTTTTTCTTGACCGGTGGTCTTTGCCTCCTAACGAGATGTTCAGTGTGCAGGTGATGTCCACATGGAGGGAACGTGGCAGAAATTCTGTGGACTCATTTTTTGGGGTCAACAGGCTCTATGAATAGTTTTACTACTGGAAAAGCTTATTACATCGACATGAAATTTTACTAAGCCCCTGTTTAGTACCGAATAATCTAAATCAAAGTCAACAATTAATTTCAACCACATTTTCCATGGGTTTTACAACTTTTCAACCATACATTTCATCAACTTTATCAAAATCGACTAAAAATCTGATTTTAATTCCTACCAAACAAAGGCTAATCCGTTTGATTGCGAATGTGGAAAATGGGTAGAAAGAAAATGTTTTACTAGGAATTGAATTGTCTAGAATTTGTTTTACTGGGAATTGTATTTAATTGTGTTTGATTGGTATAATTTTCCACCTGAAAAATGTTAAAAAGTCTAGTGTCCGTTTGATTTTGTTTTTCATGAAAAATGTTCATTAAAGTGATAACTTTTTTTTAGCATTGAGTTTATAATTTGTTCCAACTAAAAAAAAAAAAAAATTTAAAATTAACTTACCGAAGATCATTCGTTTGGCTTCATTTTTCATGAAAATTGTCCATTAAAGAGAAATTCTTTTTTTACAATTGTCCATTAAATTTGTTTCCATTGCAAAAGAAAAAAAAAAAGTAGTAGGATGGAAAACAAAAAACCAACACAACCTTGGGAAAACAAAATCATTGAAAAGTAAGAAAAGGTGGCGCGTGAGGTTGAGGTAGGAAAAGAAATTGCCTGGAAAATATTACAAATCAAACAAGCATAAAATTGGAAAAGGGAAAAGATTTTCCTACTTCCCTAAAAAACTTTGCAAATCAAACAGGGCCCAAGTTCTTTCTCCTATTCGTTCAAGCAAATAACTCGACAAAAAAAGATTTTAACATTCAAAAGCATTGAACTTGGAACGGTGAGTCCACTTATGTTTTAATGTTTTTTGTCTCATTATCCCCATTCACTGGCGGACTTAGCATTGAAGTTCAGTCCGGACGAACGTTGACCGGTTAACGTCGACAATTAGCGATCGTAAAAGCGAGATCGTTTATTAATATTTTATTAAATAATATTAAAAATTACTCAATATTTTCAAGTGCTATGATTTTAGTGTTAGAATTTTACAATGTTTTGCATCATAGTTTT